AGAGCGGTGCGGTGCTGGGGGCGTGAGGCTGAGGCGGGATGCAGCCCCTGGGGTACCGCGAGCGACCTTCGCTCCCGCCGCTGTGCGGCCGGTCTGCCTGCAGCTGGCACGGTGGGATGTCTAGAAGCTGCATGGCGACCCAAGCGTGGCGAGGAGTGTGCGCTCGCTGCGTGAAAAAAAAACAGTCCTTGTCTGAAGATTGCTGCGTACTTCCTTGAAATAGAGACCCTCACATAAATTATGAATTGGAGTTCGTTGGTTTTCTGCTTGCTTGCATTTCACTTGAAGCAAGTTCTGCTCTAGAACTTAGTGGGGTTATTTATAAGCACTCCGTCAATCTGCTGAAAGTAGATTGCTTTTCTAATCTGTGTTTTTATTGTGGGGGGGAATGTTTTCCTTCTTGTAGGAGATCACGATGGCCCAAAGGCTTGTTAGCATACGATTGCTGTTCTGCGTTCTGGCTGCATGCTTCATCTCTGCCTCAGCCGAAGAACACGTAGGAGAGAGTCAACATGCAAATATTCGCCTCGATAAGAACTTGGTACAAGATAAAGAGTATGTGTTCCATGTTCTAAAAATGTAAACTTTACTTCTTAATGATTTGCTTATCTCTTAAGTCTTGTTACGTGAGTTGGACTTAAGCCTAGGGGCACCTTCTTTTCTCAGGATGCTGTATGGCCAGCTAGAGGCAGATATGAGGCATGCTTGCTGAGTAAGTTTGTAGAGATACTAGACCTAGAAAGGTCTCTCTGGAGCCGTTAGCCCTACTCAAGCTAGAAAGATTTGCTTACAGGAATCCTGCTTACCTAGAGCAACATACTTTAGACAAAATCATATGCTGATCAGGTAGCATGAGAGGGGTTTTTTCACATTTGGTTCTGCATACAGACAAAACTAGTAGCAGCAAATAAAATCTTCTAGAATACTTCATGTTCAACTGAGAAAGATCTTCCTCCAGTTCCTGTGCTTTGGAAGACAGCCAAAAGGAGATTTGGGGCATTGCTTATGTTGTTTTAATAACCTGCTAAGCAGGCCAGAAGAAATAGAAATAGCTATCTGAAGTATTAGAGGCCATAACGGCACCTGTAACAACCAACCTTTGTGCCCCCTTCATCTTAGTATAAAACGGTAGCTTTCAGTTATCCAGGGTGCTTTTAGAGAAACAGTATTTCCTGTGCACTTGACTGTCCAATCAAAGACTGAATCTGATGTAAACAGAGCTTTAAATATTAACTAACAGGTATGTTGTGGGGTTTGGTTTTTTTCCTTTTTTTTAGCCACATCATGGAACATTTAGAAGGTGTCATTGAGAAACCAGAATCTGAGATGTCTCCACAAGAGTTGCAGCTTCATTACTTCAAAATGCACGATTATGATGGCAATAATTTATTAGATGGTTTAGAGCTTGCTACTGCTATATCACATGTCCACAAAGAGGTAGGTAGAATTTTGTAAGGGCGCATGTGTTTCAAAACAGATCTGACTCTCTGAAAGCAGCTTACAGTGGAACAGAACAGGTACAACACATCCTCAGTGCAGTTACGGTTTTGCCTGAAAATGAGGTTATTTTTCCTCCTGATGGTTTTGGTTTGATGTATAAATGTGCTAGCTTTATCACAGCTTTCCATGTCACGTTGCAGTTTTCCAGAAGCCTTCATTGTAATTTAGGCGTTAGAGTGCGGAAGGACTCGAGAGTGAACATGATTTGACAGGGGGGATGCTTTGGTAGGCAGGGATGGATAGAAAGGGAATTTACCCAAACTGGGATAATTCTCTTCAGTGTGTATAGAAATAGTATGAGATACGATGCTGCTCAGGGTTCTAAGGCTGCTCTTTTCAACTCCAAACTGTTCCTACAGTGGATGCATAAACTGTAAGAGACCTCTTGCACGAAATCAGTATTAGAAGAGCCAGTCACTCTCTGCCTTTTTCTAAACAGATTCTCTTTCCAGCTAGGAACATATAAGGGCAAACTAGGAAGACACAAATCATTAGGAGGACAATGATAACACAGTACCTCATACTGACCTTTTGGCAGTTACAGTTCAGAATAGTTCTGTACTGTATAGAAACTATGGTGTCTATACCACAAAAAGATTCAAGTTAAGAATACATCTGTCAGATTATTATCCATCATTATACACTGTGCTATTCAACTTTTGGAACTATTGGCTAAGAATATTAACTGGATACAGAGTACTTGTTCTGAAGTCCACAGAACCTGGACTTTGTAGCTTGCACCTGATAAAAGTTGATTATATTGGTATAAATGATTACATAAAACTTAGCACCAAATTAGATACCAAACAGGAACAGCTTAACAAAAGAATGAATTGCAAATAATCTGTTGTATGTGCTACTAGATGAGAAACACTGCTAAACTGTTTGTTTTGTTTTTGTAGGAAGGTGGTGAACATACCCAGGCAATGAAAGAAGAAGAGCTGATTAGTCTGATAGATGATGTCTTAAGAGATGATGATAAGAACAATGACGGATACATAGACTATGCAGAATTTGCAAAATCACTGGAATAAAGTTTTGCAGGGAGCTTGCTTCTCCTTCTAACTACATGGAAATGTGAACCAGTATAATGTGATTCATTACTGTCTCATATCAACCTCTGTGCTGTGAGAAGGAGAGGTGTACCCGTTCTGGCCAAATTGATTTGAAAGTTGTGTGTGTGAAGAGACTGGCTAACTTGGAGCAAGAGCCATGTTTGACATGTAGCTACACAATTGAATCTTGAAGCATGGAAGTACCAGCAGTACTCACCATGTAGGGTACAGCTGGCAAACTCCTAAGTAGCTGTGTATGAATACTAAATAGATGCACAATCTAAATTATAGGTTTTCTGTCATTGGGTTATATGGTATTTTTTTGCTTCCATCTTCTGTTTAAATGTAAAAAACCCCTACAAAGAGTTGCATTTTGAGGATGAACGACCTTACCATTTCAAAGGAAATTTGCATCTAAGTACAGGTGCTTGAAAAGGCAATTGGAGAAGAAAAACTTTTCAATGTGGTTTATGTTTGAGGTCCACATAATGGCATAGGGACTTCAACACGGTCTTTGAAGAAATTGAGTATTATTAAATATATGTACTTCTTAGCATACCCTTATATTTTACATATAATATCTACATATTTTTTGATTTCTTCTCATCCTTCATGGATTTACTTTTTATATCTTAATTTACTGATGATTTTTTTTCTTCTACCTTCTGTGGTGTTTTCTAAAGAAAATGAAAGTATTTTTATTACAATTACATGTTGTATTAATGCTATATAGCATTACTAGAGTAGCTTCTGCTATCTCATTTTGAAGGTCACATTAACAGTAAACTAGCTTAATATAAAAAAATCTGGTCAATTTGATTTTTTACAGTATTAGTGAGCAGAATCATCTAAGTTAGCAAGTAATGCTGCCTTGTTGATGTTTAAGTTCATATTCCTTGACGCTTAGATTACAGTATTACTTTCAGGAGGTATTTCATAATTAAGTTTGAAGTTACTTGGGTGTTTGCAAATTAACATGGTTCTAGGAATGTTCTCAGTGTCTTGACTCATACTTGATCAGTCAAGCACTTTAAGGATATGAGAGAAGTGATGTATTGCTGTATTATTGATATTTGGTGTCTCTAAAACATAACTGAAATCTTGAATTGCATTAAATCAATATCCATTAATAGAAGATTTAAATGTTAGCATAAAATGTATAAAGAGCTATTTTCTGTACAAAATTATTCTTCTACAAAAGAAACACGTTTGTAAAAGAAATTATTTCTTCTGTTTAAATGTTTGTGCAATGAATCCTGAGTGTCAGACCTTTTTCTTGTACTAATTATTTATTTTGATACCTTTTGTGACCAGGGTTGTGCTGGTTGTACAAGCAATAAAAATAAGTTGGGGTTTGTGTGCTCTGGAGCTAGACACAGAAGGCTGGAAGTCCTAGTGAGAAACGTATCTCATTTTCTGATGTATTTTTAGGTCCATCTCTGTTACTAGCAGTCACCTTAAAAAGAAAGTTCTACTTTCAGTTAAAAGCACTTTTTAAATCTCTCTTTTGATAGTAATTAATCCAGAGTGAATGCTGAGTCAGAAGAAAGTGTAGGAGATGCTTGTGGGTAGGAGGGAAGAAGAGGTTAAGCTCCTCATCTTTGAGGACTTAAAGCAGGTTGTCTGTAGACCTGCCAACTCTTACATGCTTATTACATAAGCTTCTGAGTTTGGGATTTATTTGGAATGAAGGAGCAAGACCAAGGAACTGATTTTTATGCATTGCTCTTAAAAATTGTGGTTTTCTTGTCAAGCACAGTCTGTAAGCTTAGTCCAGCAACTGTCTGTGGGGCACATCTATATACTTATGCTGTATTTATATACTTACTTATTGTTTATGGCAAAAGATGTGCACCACAGAAGCACTGTTAAATGCAGGTAATGTGAACACTGTTTACCAACTATTTTTAACTTGGGTTTAAGGGTTCAGAAGTATGTATAAACAGGAAAATTATTCACCAAAAATGGAAAACAAAATTAGCACCTTAGATTTCATGATACATGAAGTAAGATTAACCCCAAATTCCTCCTTTCCTAGAAAGAACAGTTCAAGAAACTACCCCAGCTGAAACCTGCATCATCATGTCTTTACTCAGTCTCCTAAAACAAATACACATACTTAATTAAACCATTTATCTTTAAGTGCACTTAACAGCTGTCTAGGGGGCTTTCCCAGTTAAGTAGGGAAGCACAGAATCACTGACAGCCATGGTGAGCCAGGCTTCTTTTTTAATGTAACTGATTTGTGTACTAGTTGTGGCTCATGCAGTACCCTCAATATGCTGGTACAGGTCATGTATGTGTGTATGTATATATATATATGGGAAATAGAAAATATAGCCTTTACAGATGAAGAACTCATCAACTGTAACTCTCTTTTTGTGATTTGTGTACTAGTTGTGGCTCATGCAGTACCCTCAATATGCTGGTACAGGTCATGTATGTGTGAAATATATGTGAAATAGAAAATACAGCCTTTACAGCTGAAGAACTTGTCAACTGTAACTCTTTTTGGTTGCTTAGAACAGTACTATCTCCATCCCACAGATAAGATAAATAGCAAAGCAAAAGTGGTGAAGGATTTACTGCAGGCCAGTCACATCCCTGGCAGGAACAGCAAGCAGGGAGAACGCTGTTGTGCGTGATCTTCACCTCTCCCTGCTCTGTGGTCTGAGGGATGGGCATCACTTCTCCCCGTTAGAAGAGAACACATCTGGCCTTCAATTACTGAATACTAGTTTAAAATATCGAGATTATCTGCTTTTACCTCACAAAATATTGCACAATCTAGCAGCTGAAGAAAACACTTCAACTTGTACCTGAAGCACTCGAACTGGGCAGGTGTGTTTATTGGTTGATAGAGAACACAGTCCATATGTGAAGGAGGGAAACCGTAACTGCTTGTCCAGGGCCCAGCAGACTGCTGGTAATGACAGCAATGACTGCCTAGAACTTGCCAGCAACAATTTTGTCTCCATATCCATGCAGACTTCACTTACAAATCGTTTTCGTCCGAAGTGATTTTTCCAGGAGTGCTGTCATTAGCGGTGCAGCCACTAGATAGCGTGTCGACACTGCACATTCCTTCCCCAGCCGCTGCGGCGTGCAGTCATTCCACAACCTGCCTGTTCCATCACCGCTGCTCTGACGATAGGCAAGGCTTGCTCCTCTGGCTTTCAACACCGCGTTGCCAGTATGATGGCCACATTTTTGTTAGCTGACACCTGTCAAAAGTTGACCGTAGCTGGGACTGGTTACTGATAATTAATTTTCATTGTTTAGGGGATCCAAATCACCTTGAAGTGCTAGTAAAGAAACTTGCATTATGAGGCTGTCAGTAAAAATAAGTCTGTAATAGGAAGGTTTTCTAATACAAGCATCACACTTGGCCTGACTCCTTGACCATCTCTAGTTGACCTATGAGAGAGTCCAGGAGGTATCTACAATGGTGTCAACCAACATTAAAGAACATTAGAGGGTTTTAGTAGGACCTTGAAGTCTTGCTGGTTTTGCATTAGATGTCAGTGGGAGTTTCTGTCACTGTTCCTCCAAGGCATAGGTCCAGTGTGGTCTGATTAGACATTTTTGCCTGAAGTGAAGCTTACTGCTTTTTTATTCCTCTCCCCCATTATGGCCACTGTCTGCCCCTCATACCATGAAACAGATGCATAATGTTGTAAGATTTTAGTAAACAAAGTATGGCAAGGACCATTGCATACCTTAGTCTGGATTATTTCTCATCACAAAGACTTTGTGTGTTCCAAATGTTTCATCAGCATGGATCCTCAGAATTCATTGATGGAGATCCATTATAAGGACAATTAATAATGGTTTACAGAAGGTTTCTCCAAAGTTATATTTTTCTTCCCATTCTTTATGCTAAATTCTGAACAACAGCCTAAATCTTAAGGGCTAATACATACTGTAATTGTCACTATCTTCCTCAGCTGAGCAGCAGTTCTACATGTAGGTAGAGGGCAGTGTAACATGACTCAAATTCTACTGCCAGATAGGGCATTTTAAAGGAAATCAGTACTGCAGCAAACATAGCTTCTGCCACTTGATCCAACAGAGTGACTGACAGCACTAGATTTCAAGAAGGCAGATGTCTATAAACTGGAAGAATGGATAGGGAAGATCCCACAAGAGGCAAATCTAAGGGAAAAACCAATTATGGAGAACTGTCAGTTCCTTCAAGAAATGCTAATAAGAAACCGAGTGCAACCTATACCATTTTAGAGGAAAGTAAAGAAATTCAGCAGAAGTCAGCTAATTCACAACCTTTTCATTCACCTCAAGCATGAGAGAGAGAGAGACTGTGAAGTAGAAACTAGGTCAGCTGGTTGAGAGCCCATCACAATACTCCATTCATGGTGGGGCTAGGAGGGTGTATACAGTTGGTAAGGAAAAAAGGCACAAGATGCAACTAGCAAAAAAGAGTACAATAAATTTTACAGGTACAGTGGTAAGAGAAAAAAGGGACTTTTGGACCACTGCTCAAAGATGGGGGGTGCTATAAGCAGGGGACATTAAGAAAGTCAAAGAGTTTAATGTCCTTTTCTCCCATTTTCATCAATATTTACTAAAAATGTCAACAGCAAGCAGACAGTGCAATTATTACCAGAAAAAAGGGGTAAATTTTTAGCCTAAACTATGCAAAACCTGCTTAGAGAATAAAGTTAAATTAGATGTTTTCTAGTTGCCCAAAACTGATCAACTTCACTCTAGGAATCTTAACAGGAGGGTGAAGGAGTGGCTGCAGATGTCATATAGCCTGAATATTGTTTCTTTCTTTTTTTTTCCTTTTTTGCAAAGCCTTTAGCAGTACTTCCTATAATATCCTCATGAACAGGCCAGTGAACTGTGCTCTAAATGAAACTGCTGTTTCATTTAGAAAATGAAAGGGGCACAAAGTCAAGTCTGGCTGGGTAATTGTATCCACAGGATAATTCCATGTAACCCAGGAAAATACATGTGTTTTGCAAGGAGTTCTGTGAGCCTTGGTCCTGTATCAGGTTTTATTTGATGTTTTCATTGAAGACATTAAAGATGGAGTATGAAGTATGATTATTAAA